GTTTCCCGGCTTGGCCGGCCAATGTGTCGACTTGTCCTTGAGCAAGACACTGAACCCCCAGTTGACACCGGTGTGTTGAGTGTTTGGGAGTGCGAATGGGTGAATGGCCAAATCGTGTGAAAGCGACCATTTACTTGCTCTTAAAAGAGTCAGCAGCCATGCTCAGATACAACATGCTTGTGTTTAGCAGGTGTAATGTTTATTATCTTAGGGTGTTGGCAAGTTTGTGTATTTGCTACTTTATTAGCTATGCAAGCAGTGCACCTGGGGGATATCAGTTGGCTGGCTGGTCCAAACTTAAATATCTGAATGACTATCAAATGGACTGCCATGAACGTCTGTGCAGTAAACACATTACAGTTATTACTGTTCATCCTCTGGGTATCATAGACATCTGTAGCAGATCTAATCCACCCAGTTGAGATAATATGTTTCAAAATTCAGAGGATCACCTGAGGCATCATCTTCTGTAACTCATATTCATCTGCACACAAATTCATGTCTATCTATTTACAGTAATAGTTACTGAGATATTTAAGTTGTGGCTAAAGTAGAGGGCTGGCCAACTAACAGACATCATCCCCAGTCACACTGCTTGCATGGCTAAAAAACATGGCAAAGATAAAAGGCCTACATTTGAAACTTTTCTGCTCCCACACGAAAACAAAACAGAAGGCAGTGCTTTCAGGGCCTCCTGGGACGCTGACTAGTCACAGCTGTCTCAGAGCTCCTCGATACTGAAGGGCCAAAGATGAAGATTCCCTGTGTATCACCAAGTTTCCTCAGAATTTTAAGAGGTTGTTCCCCAAACAATTTTCACTTAAAGATCCATTTACTATCTTTTTCAGCAGATGGAGTTTACTAGCTGTCATAAAAACAGCTCACTGCCTGACCTGAAGTATATCACTTTGATCATGTGACATTTAATCAATCAAAGTCTATTTAGTGTTAGGACCTTACATACAAACTAGGTATTCTTATTGACTTTAATATATGAAACAGTTTCGGATTGGTCTCACTCTACTTTAGTAGGCACAGCCACAAGTATCTCCCTGAAAGTGGAGGTTCAGCACAGGCTGAACTCGTTTTAGGGTTAATTGAGTCCAATCAGGTTGTTGAGCTCCAGCTGCTGCAGCTCTGCAGTGAACCTGCACCCGTGTTTCTGTATAACTCAGAGGGGACAGAGGTGTGAAGTTGCAGTCATGAACTTCCAGCTTAAAACCAAAGCTTGCCTCTTTGACCTGCACTGTTCCGTAGGCCTGACGGACTGGGAGATGGACAAGGAGCTGAAACTGGCAACTACCACTGACCAGTTTTATCACGGTGACAGTTTCTCTTTTCTCTGGAGCGTTTGGTCTTACTGGGGTGAAAGGATGCTGGTTATTCACTTCCATTCATTTCAGAAAGCACAAAAATTCACGGATGACATGTTTCAGTTCAAACACTGATTATTGTTAGAGGAGTTCCTGCATCTCTTGGAAAACTGGCTGAAGTCAGGGACCAGGTTACAAAGAGTTGACACTGGAATATTGAATGCACCCCAAACCACCTAAACCTGGTAAAGCTGAGAACTAAAGATCAGAAGGAAAAAAAAATCCCAATGTCAAAATGTAGCTTTACGAAAGAGAAATGTAAGTGAACTGATCTGTTGGATGCAAACATGAATGCTGTCTTTGCTGTAACCAGCTTCTTTTAAGTACTTTTATAACTGCGTGCTCCACCTGCAGGGTTGTGGTTTTCACAGCTAATGGTGGTCCTGTCATCCTGTCCAATACTGGGTAGCTAGGTGATTTTATGTATTTGGTCAGTTTAGCAGCTTGTTTTGCATGTAGATTTGTCAGGTTTGGGATTTTAAAGAATAAGAGCCATGGTGGCACCTTTGTCTCCTCAGTTTAAATAAGGGGACATCTTCACGATCTTATGACTTATGGCTCGCTTTCATAATGCATAAAAATGAACAGGATTCACAGTGTAGCACAGACAGAGGGTGAATTTTTTTTTTTTATTCTGCTGTTGTCTGCATCTCTCCAGAGTACCAGACACAAACAGTTTTTCTGATAAAGCTGAAGTTCACTGCCTAGTCAGCAGTTTAAAAATGTCAAACCCACTTTCAAACTTATGAAAACCTTAATTTTAATAATAAAGGCAAAAAGTGTGTATCTATGTTTTCTCCATCCAGATGACAGTAGACCAGTCAGAATAAAACCCCTGGTCAGTTTCACAAACCTGTGTTTTAATCAGCCTTCAAACTTTCCTCATTTATGGAGTTCAGGTGTGATGAGGGTTATGATGCACTTTATCATTGTCTGGAGGAAGAAAATGTAGTGAAATCACTTTTCCTTGTTTCCATAGTTAAAACTGAGGTTTCACAGGTCTGAAAGTATTTTTACACATGCAGCATTAAGGCTTTAACTAGGGCGTCTAACACGCTTTCACAAAAAATGTGTGGATAAAAACTGTAGAATTATTTACTGTATTGTTGTTGACGTGTCTTTTCAGCTCCCCTTAACCTGGCAAAGCTGCAAACTTGACCATGTATTCGGCTGTTGTCCTCTGATCACAGAGCCATAGGTTAACACACAGAGGTGCAAACTGAAGAGCCTTCCAGAAATAGTTAATGTTATACCAAGTGCAATAAAAACAAAAAGAGAGACAACAAAACTAAAATCAGCATTTGGTGATGGAGTCCCCAAAATGTTTACGTTTCAGTCTGTTTTAAAGGTGACTTCTTTAAGAACTTGTTGGTGTGGGGCATGATCCCCATCTGCTGTTCTAGCCTGGTGCTGAAAATGTCCTTTTAAATTGGTGGGAATCCCAGTTTTGAAGCAGTTCATCTCCAGGCTTCATATTACGTTAGCACCGTTGTCTCACAGCATGACGGTTCCATCTATAGATGAGGGATTGATGGATACGACGTTCAGGAGCAGTGAATGCAGGTTAAATCAACTGATTAAGTTCAAAATGTGCAGTTTGCCATTGTGTGATGTTTGTGTGTCGCTGTCTCTCTCTGATGGTAGATGACCAACAGAACGATCAGTATGTGGTCCAGAGGCCTTCTGCCAGAGCCTCAAGAAGGAAAGATGAATTCATTTGGTACGATAAAACATCAGGTACGCTGAGAGGAAACCACACTTTTAGGAAGATGAATCTGAGGAGGTCATGGTTCAGAAACAGCATTGTATCTGTGGCTCCATCTGTGAAATCCCTCCTATGTGCAGTTATGCTAAGCTAACTGCCACCTCATGTTTATTGGACAGCTGCTTTTGTCACTTTCTGTTCCTCTCATCTTGGTGGAGATGAACAGAAACAGGCTCTGTTTAATCTGGAATATCAGCAAACTCTTCCTTTTTGTTTTGTCTTTGTGCTAAAGTAATAATAAACTGATCTTGTCTGGCATGTTTTTCTGTCCATCAGACACCTTTGTGAAGCCAAATCTGTGGCTGTTGGTGAATCCTAACATTGCCTGCCCAATGCAGTACGGAGAAAATACAGCAGATCTGCAGATTCTCGGTGAGTCTAGGGAAATCCAAACATCACTGCTGGAGCCTGTGGAGACCCAACATTCACTGGGAGCTTCTCTCCAGGACAAACTGCTCCACCCTGCATCCTCCTGCTCTGAGTACCTGGTACAGTATGTTGTACACTGCAGACAGGATCAGTGGTCCCTGTTCTCTACATTTACTGTGTTTTACAGCAAACGCATTTACAGTGGAGTGTGCCGGTTTGTGAACAGTGGCTCAGGTTGTATACAGAGTTAAACCTGGAAACTTTGGCTAAACTGGCTTTATGCACTAAATATTTAAAAAGAAATGGGAGGTTAACCCTATAAAACCATTTGTATCATATTTGATACGTGAGGTTTCTGGGCAAAAGAAAAAAAAATGCCCCATGTATCAAATGTGATACAAAAGAAATAAATAATCTAAATAATGTCTGTCTATGCATATATGGCAAATAAAAATCATGAATTTTGAATCATGAATGATATGTTGGATTTTGTTAAAAGGTTTAATAAACAAGGGCTCTCTCGGGGTGCTCCGCCTTCCTCCCACAGTCCAAAGACATGCAGCATAGGTTGATTGGTGTCTCTAAATTGAGTGAGTGTGAGAGTGTGAGAGAGAGATCTACGTGTTAGCCCTGCGATGGACTGGCGACCTGTCTGGTGTGTACCCCGCCTCTCGCCCGCAGCTGGCTGGGATTGGCTCCAGCCCCCCGTGGCCCCGTTTGGGACTAAGCAGTATTGACAATGGATGGGTTTAATAAACATCTCAGTTCTGAAAAATTAGAATGTTCTGGCTATTTTTTTGTTGTCAGCCATTTATATCATCTGTATTTTACTAGTACTTCAATATAAAATGAGCATCACAAGTATCACTAATAAAATAAGGGAAGTGTTCCTTATGCAGAATGGCCTGTCAGTGCTTATATATACTTATTATTATTATTATAATGTACTGCAAGTGATGCATTTATTTTGTGATTGGTCAAGGTGAAATGACAGGGTGGGGGGGGGTGGTGAATACTGGTGCAGGAATCAACGCACCAGTTTAGTTTTTTTTCTCCCCTCCTTGACTGTTAGATCAAGGCTGAAGCCCCCTCGTGTCGACCAGCCAAGAGCAGACGCAAGGGGAGGACCACCAAGGCCAGAACGAGGACGCTCAGCTTGGGCCGGGCCCGAGTTCCTTCAGTGAGATCAAGGACCTTGCTAATCTCCTAATCTTTTACTCTGACGAACAAACACAGGAGATTTCTCTGTTTTCTCTTCTCAGTGGTGTGAAGCGGGTTGGCTCTGCTGCACCAATCAGCATTTGAATTGAAATATGACAGAGCTTAACTGAGCATGCTTCTGTCTAAACGTTTTTAAATTCATGAATATCTCATTTAAAAACAAAATTTTTGGGATGTCAAATATTCCTGAGAAAAAGAAATTTAATTTTGAAGACCCCCTAAAGATTTAAGTTGGTATGGAGTGTCTGGAAATGTTCAAATGAAAACTGTCATGCATGAATTGTGTAAGGGGGATGAATAGGCCTTTATTCACTCTGTCTGCAGGACAGCAAGACCCTGAAGCCAGGATGCTGGCCTCGTCCACCAGTGAATTACTGCATCCTCATTGCCTTGGCGCTCAAGAGCAGCCACACTGGCAGCCTCAAAGTGCAGCAAATTTACAGCTTTACCAGGTCAGATTTTGTTATATTGGCCAAACATGTTGGGATTAAATATCTTAGGAGGAATGACCTACACTGAAGGTTATGGGTCACCTCCATGTTTCCAGCTGATGCTTCAGAGGGTGTAGTAACAGCCTTTTCCAGCACTGTGTCCAAACACGGTTCCCACAGCAAGTAATTTTTATGTTCACATGAAGCCCTGAGCCAGGCTGCAAAGCAGAGCAGTGCTGCAGCACTGGCAGGTTGAGATGGACAAAACACAGTTCAGTTAAAAGAATTTGGGTGGTTTCCTTATACTAATCCTCAGGACATTTGTACTAATTGGATGGCACTCAGACATTTTTGAAGTTGCTGGAAGGCAAAACAATCTCCCAAAATGTCAGGCTGATCCATAAAAAGGCCTCTGTGTAATGAGCAATAGTAAAGTTGCAGCGTTCTGAACCATAACCTGTTGGGGGGGCTGACTTCCCTCATGTTTCTTCCATTGCTCCCTGTCTTCCCAGAGAGCACTTCCCCTTCTTTCAGACAGCTCCAGAGGGCTGGAAGAACACCATCCGACACAACCTGTGCTTCAACAGCAGCTTCCGCAAAACCTGCAATCAACTGAACAAAGATGGTAAGAGGAAGTCCTGTTTTTGGTACCTGACTACGGACGGACAGCGCCGGCTGGAAGATGAGATTCACACCTTGACAAGAGAATCATTCAAGCAGCTGGAGAGGAGCATGTCCTGCCCAGGTGATCAGAATAAATGGAAGATAAAATGTATATCTGAGTGGATGAATTCCTTTAAGGATGCCTCTACACAGACTAACCACAACAACCGGTAATGTACTAAACACAATTAGTTAGATGGTACAAGTATCTACAGAATACCTTGATGTACCTGCTGTGGTTAATAAATGCTGGATAACAATGATTTGATTTTCAAAGTACAGTAGCAAAACACTTAAAACTGAGCACAACCTTTTTATGAAAAGATTCCCAGTACAAATTGTGAGGTGCTAATCTGTAAAGAACTATTTTAATTTAAAGAGCCTGTCGCTGCTCATTTCCACCCATTTAATTTTGGGAACCTCTAGATTAGCTTTGCACCCTTCTTAACTCCAAATACTCAAATTAGTTCAGAGTAATAAACCCATAGAACCTCTTCCTAAAAGAGAGTTCATGAACACGCACAACAAACCTCAACAGCATTAATGTCTGCAGTGGTATATGTACCAATGAAAAGAGATGTGTAACACTACAAACACAGCAGATAATTGAGAAAATGTTTTATCTGACATAATGCAGACATAGTCACTTCTCCAGCCTTACAACAACCTCTTTAATGTTGCAGAAATTAAACAAAAAAAAACGGGGGGGCCCCCCCCCCCCCCAAAACAGTCTAACAAGCAAGTTTGCAAAACATGTATTTACCAAGTTGCTTCTGCATAGAGTTAATGGAACATGTGTTCACCATCTATCTATCTATCTATCTATCTATCTATGAGCTTTAGGTCACGTCTAAAATGAGATTCACTGTAACATTGTAGATAAGGCAAAGAACGGCATGCCATGGGCTCTTTAAATGCTTTTAAATTTGAAAACCTATGCTTTGCGGTTGGTGACGGATGAAATGTTTTCTTTTGTTTCAGATGTAATTTGGACTCTACTTGGATTGTGATTTCAGTTGTAAATATTAAAGATTAAATTAATATCCATAATGTTTACTCATGTAATATACTCTAATGTAATGGTTTTTGTTTAATTTTTGTTAAAGAAAACTTGACTTTTTTTTTTAATACTTAAAAAAAAAGTTCAGTCAGACTTTGCACAATTTGACAATATTGTGAATTAAACTAGCATCGTTAAAGTGTGTGTGTGTGTGTGTGTGTGGTCAAGTCTAAGTTCAAGTCCAATAATTTCCCCCAGGTTGTTTTGGTAATTCCCCACAAACCCATCTAGAGTGTGTGTGGGTGGCTGGAGGGGTCTTTTTAAAAAAAAAAAAAAAAAAAAAAAAGCATCTGAAGAAAGCCGTCTATGCATGCATCTGATCTCTGCTAGTGTTCAGACTGTTTCAAAGACGAGAAACCACTGCTCTCTCCATTAATCTCTACGGGGGTTTGTGCGCACCGCATTTGGCACCAGATGCGGCTCTGGCAAAAGGATACAATCCTGTGCGGCAAAATAGTTGGATCTGGTTCAACTTTCAATAGATGATGTCATCCAGCAAAGGTGCTGTGTTGACCTATCATGTACGGGGTACAATCAGTGGATGCCCATGGGAAGAAGGCTTTTGTTTACCTTGTTTGCATGAGATTTTACTGAGTTTGGGTCACATTTAAACCATAACACACCATGAATTTTCAGTAGTACTGGACATTAAACAGTGGTTTTTAACCAATCAATGCCGACACACTGGTGGTAGGATTATTTCCTGTGCTACATTAGCACCAAGGCTAACCAAAACACAACGGAAACTCCCGGGCTGGGAATGTGAAATAAGCCTTTCACGTTGACCCGTTACAACGTGGCCACATTGTACATGCCTACTCTATCCCCAGCCGGCGCAACCTCTTGTGTTAAAAACAGTAGAGAGTTGTTTTTACAAGATCAGTCTGAATGCCCACTGAGAAGCAGAGTAGACAAAACACAGCAGAGATCTTGTGCAAGCATAGTTTGACTTTGCTTTCTTCAGACCCTAAATGTAGCCTCAGTCTGTCACTAAGAGCTGCAGGTGATGTGAACAAGCCTGATAAATGCCAGAAACAGCATTTCATATACAGGAGATTCCTCTGCCATAGATGTCTCAAAGCTCTTATTTCCCCTTGGAGGAGCGGGGGAGGACTAAAAAAAGGGAATTGGGATTCACCTTTTCAGAGAACAGAACAGCTTCTCATGTTGGTTCACTCAGCTCTCGCTTGCAATACAGTAGTAAGTTGCAAATAAAACTGAATTGACATGGTGAACTGTCAGCTGTTCTTCTGTCCATGCTCCACTGAGCGGTGGTTGAATAGTGTCTCCTGTGTCTGACCCACCACATCACACACTAATCAGCCCAAAGGCCACATCTCCTGCTGCTGTTGTTGCTCTTTTTAAATTTTATATAAATAAAACGGGAGTGATGCTTACATGAGGGTGTAGGTACCCTTTATTAGGGAATATACCGTGCAGGATGTTGGAAAAATCAACTTTACCTCTAGTAGAAAAACCAGATCTTTGGCATTTTGAGTCCGTCTTTTACTGCCTGACAGATCTGCAGTGACCTTGGTGGCCAATATATTGGCTTCGTCTTGGAGTAGTTTATCCTCATTTTTTTCACAGTGTTTTTGGTAGAACATCTCCATCATTTGTCTGCTAAAGAGAAACGTTTTATTTAAAAGCTACACGTAACTCACTGTGTCCTTAGCTCAACAGTTCAGCCACTGCTAAAGACGTCCTGATGTGACTGAATACACAAATTACTGCATGGCTGCTTTGTTTAGATTTGCCTGCCTCCCAGGACACCTCATGGACGTAATGTCATTATTGCAAAGAGATGAAGGCAAATCTCCCCTTCATTTGCCAGCAGTCAAATGGTTTCTACTAGTCAAGTGACTCTTCTGATTGGACAAACACAGATGTACATCTTGATACTGGAGGATTTCTGAAGTGTTTCTCATGGAGCACAGCAGCACAAGAAACGGCAAAATGCATCAGGAAAGGTAACAACACTGGCTGAACACTTGGTCCGTTATTGGTTGTGAAGATGGCCCACACATTTTTCTTTTAATGAGTGTTTTATGGTCTTTAGTTATTAGTAATTCTGTCACAGTTTGGTCTTTAATCTTCTGAGATGTTAAGAAATCCATGACTGCTCATCAGTGTATAAACACAGAGTAACACAGCATTGTTGAATCTGATGCTGCCTGTACAACAGACTCATGGTGATGAAAAGCTGCCTCGCTGGATCCTTCCTCCTCTTCCTCAGCAGTTCTGTGTCTGGACTTGGGTCAGTAGTGGTGAAACAATATGATTCCATCCAAATGCATTACACCTGGAAGGATGCACAAGCCTACTGCAGGAGGTAGGGCTTTCTGGTCATTCAACTGATCACCAGTCCTTTTTAGAAGTTATTCTTTTTAGTTGTTGTACAAAGTAATGAACTTTGGAAACTGAATCAAATGAAAGGGGAGAGAAACTGTCTCAGTCACACTAACAGGTGATTTAAAGCTGCAAAGGAGGAACCTGCATGAACCGGGATGTTGACATGCCAATGCGCAGCGCAACTGTCGGCAGTTTGAGTTTGCTGATTTTGTCACAGGTCTCCCCCCTCTGTCTCTACCTCCCCTCTTTCCTGTCTGCATCGCTAGAACCCATTTAAAGGCATAAAAATGCCACCTTCCATCTGTTATAGGGTTACAGATATTTAATCATCATATATACAGTAGGTGAATTAGGAAAGAAACCTGAAGTCATGATTTCTATTTTTAGTCACTTGTATTCTGACAGGTGACTGTGAAGTTAAGCAGTTGAACTCTTTTTGTCCAAATAGCTCAAACTACTACACTGACTTGGCCTTCATCAGGACGCAGTCTGACGAGGACAGTTTGTACATGAAGCAATATAATGCATGGGTCAGCCTGCAAACAAGTTCATCCACGGACTGGTGCTGGTACTGGTACTGGCCTGTTGCATGGACTAAATGTACTTTCGGTTCAGACCCCCCGGCAAACTCTGCTCAAAGCTGTGCTTATGTGACTTACAACAGCAACAACAACAGCAGGTAATGGGACTGTTCTTGCACCATTTGGAAAACTGTTTTTTCATATCAAGCAAATTTAATATCACTACTGAACATTTTTCATATGCATGCCTTATTTCTTATTTTGTAGTATTTTTAATTTGTTCAGTTACCTGCCACATATGGACCAGTTAAAATAATATATTTTTTTCTTTATCCCAGTGTTTCTTTGGGCTCTTGCCAGCAGTTTAATTAACAGTGGGTGGACTGGTCGTGTTGTCAGGACGCTGCTAGTTGGATTGGATCAAACCACATCTGCTGAAATAGAAGAGTTCAGTTTGTGAGGGTTAAAGTTGGAATCAGTGAGATTCAAATTAAATCCCAGTTTTGATATTTCTGATAAATATTGGTGCAGTAATCTTTCAGTGTTACTGCATTAAGAGGTTCAAGTTTATAAGCCTATTGTTCATGTGCTGAGCAGGGTGAGTATGTAACCAAGCCTCACTACTTCTCTCCACTGTGTCTGAGCTGCTAATACAAAGTGAACATCATTCAACAGGTGAAACGTGGGTTGGGGTTTATCGTTTTATGAATGGCTGTCAAAAACATAGACAACAACCAAAAGATATTTTTAGCTTCTTACGTGTTTGTTAGAAGATGATTTTTAATTTTGTAAAGGACTAATTGAATGGCCAGGAGCAGTGAAGTGAGACAAAGAGCTGCAGCCACAGCACACTCAGGTGTTGCCATGTGTGGAAAACTACTCCGGCAGCATGGAGTCAGATCAATTAATGATTTTTTTTTATTATATTTATTTTTATTCCTTAAATTAAAAAAAAATCTGAATTAGTTTGGCTGGTAGAAGGTTTAGTCACTGTTTCATCAAAAGACAAGACATGAAATTCAGACGTACAACAATGAAATGTGCTGAAAAAGTATGAAACAAATGCAAGTTTAAACAAGTGGGTTTAGCAGCTTTTTAAAGGCGCCTAAAGAAAGAGTCTTACAAAGTTTAGTAGCTTGAAAAGTCAGTTGCCTTTTGTCTCGAGTCTGGAGCAGGGAACAGTCCACAAGCTGTGACAAGAGGACCTTCCCCGATCAGACCAAGCACCTTTTAATTGTAACTGTAAATAACAGTTTTCAGTGACAGTGAAGCATTTTGCTCGCTGCCTTTGTGTTGCTGAGTGCCTCTACTCGCCTCCCATTTTTTGCAGGAGCACCTCAGTGGGAAAACACCCGACACTCTTGCCACTAATTTCCATATGTCCAATCAGAAGAACTGAGAGCCAAGCCTTCTGTGGGGCGACCTGCAATATAGTGCTGACCTTCTGCAGACAAATGGTCAGCCCCTCGGCAGGACAGATGGGTTGTGTAGTTGGCAGTCAACCCAGCAGTTGACAGCAGATTGTCACCTTGTCCCAGACTCATCCCTTGAAGTGGCCCTCATCTATGACCTCTACTCTTCCTGAGGGGGTCCTGTGGCCACACAGAGATCCAGTTCTCTGTGTTCAGCTATTCGGGAAAAGCCTCTCTCCCTCAGTCAGAGCCAGAACAGCTGCCCTCCACTTCTCCATTTTTAATCTTTGGATAATAAGAAAGTAATTACCGTATATCTGTTGTTAATTGTGACAAATGATGAATATTTATATAAACGTTTTCTTGCAGTGGATGGCCAGTAATCAGGATGGGATGGCTTGGATTTAACAACAGCTGTTTACTGGGAGATTATTGGAGCATGGCAGAACAACAGGAAGCACAGCAATACCCCTGAACGTAAACAGGACATAAATCCTAGTTTTATTGTGGTAGCAGAGATAGCTAAATTAGCCTGGCCCTTTAATGAGGGAGATGTTTTTTATTTGACATTTGATTTCTCGTGTGTTTGGAACAAGCAAAACTCAATATTAATTCAATGTTTAAGCAACTTAAGTTTGTTTCCGTATGAAAAAGTTTCATTATATAGCTGGGTAGAAGGGAAATTTTATTCAATATTTCAAAAAATATAGAGTCTGGTCCTCAACTTTGTCTCAGTCTTTAATTTTGGCCCACTGTGTATTTAGGTTTGACACCCCTGCTCTAAAGACAGTGATTTGGTGGTTGCCTATGCAATAAGAACAGAGCAGCAAGTTGCTCTTTTATTGTTTGTATACATAAAAAAAAATCACCTTTATTTGGCCAAGTATGTTACACACACGGAATTTGTTTCCGATACATAACCAAGGCAGCCATTTGCGGCACCAACTCACACCAATGGCTCTAACCATCGGGGGCAACTTGGGGGATCAGTGTCTTGCCCAAGGACACTTCAACATGTGCACCAAGATTTGAATTTCCAAACCTCCAGTTGGGAGACAATTGCTCTACCCACTGAACCACAGTCGACCCCTGTACTACAAAATAAAGCAATGTGGTGCATCTCGAGTTCTGTCTGATCGGGACCTAATGGTCATATCATCTCAAGGATCTTGAACTGGATTCTGAATTTAAAGTTGGTGTAATGAAATCAAAATGGGGCTTCCGTTAAACAGTTTGGAGGTCCGATCCTGTCAAACACTCTGGCTTTAAGCAATCCATGGAAAAAGGCTTGGAAAAAGGTTGGCAAAGGTTCAAACTTCTTCCTGTAGTAAACGGGCTTGCCATGTGAGACATGGGGCCGTTTGGGATGTAGTTTTCTATAAAAGGACAACTAGGATTAATGAATCAAGTTCTGCTAATTTTTTTTTATTATTTCTCTTGGAAGGTTTTATGGTGCTGCGTGTGAAGATTATTATTTCGTCATCTGTGAGAAGAGCGGCAGAGTCGCCAATAAATACACATTTGTAAATCAGTCGAAGACACAGCCTGATGCCAAGCAGTACTGCCAACAATTGGAAAATGATCTGACAATAATCTGGTCCAGCTCTGAACTAAATGAGGCTGTCAAACCAATACACATTTGTAAATCAGTCGAAGAAGCCGCTTGATGCCCAGCAGTACTGCCAACAATTGAGAAATAATCTGGCAATAATCTGGCCCAGCACTGACCTGCATGCGGCTGTCGAAAAGCAGGACTTTCCGGTCTGGACTGGACTGTACAGAGATGCTCAAGGTTAACACAATGCTTTTGTGAACTGTTTTAATGCATTCAATCCATTAACTCCTTTACTGGTGAGGTTTGTTGTTGTTGTTTTACTGAGATGGCACCAAATCTGAAAGTTACCATCCATTAAACATCCATGTCCTCGAGCCCACAGACGTCTGTGACTGTCAGGGCCAGACTGTGTCATTCTGTAGTTTTGTCATGAGTACACACCCAGAGACAAAATCTGAAATGTGAGAGCTGGCAAAATCTGTTACTGACACTGTTACAACAGCCCTACAGCTGTGAGCCACAGGATGACTTCAGTCGCTTTGTGAAACCTTTGAAAAATTTAGTTTGTCCATCACTGGTAAAGGAGTTAAGGATGGACTCACTGACTCCACTCCTTGTATTTAAACATGTATAAGGGAGTTAAAAACCCTACTGAGTTGTTGTTTTTCCTTCCTTCCTTCCTTCCATCCTTCCTTGTTCTCAGTACAGTTCAACTTCTGTCTTTACCACTAAAGCTGACGAACAGTAAAGAAACTTCTCCAACATCTGATCTGCAGGGCAAACATGGAAGTGGAGCACAGGCTCATCAAACTATTCAAACTGGGCACCAGGTGAGCCAAGGAGCAGTGGTGACTGTGGCGCCATCTCCTCTGTGAGCAAGAAGATGACTGCCCAAAACTGCTCCGACCGATTTCCCTTCGTGTGCTACAGAGACAACCTTGTCCTGGTGAAGGAGAACAAGACCTGGGAGGAGGCGCTGGCACATTGCCGAGCCCTCGGTTCCTTTCCGGACACCCGTAGCTATGAGCTGGTGAGCGTGCAACCTGGAGACGACCACATGGTCATGGTGAACAAGGTCCAAGTGGCCGACACTAATGAGGTGGGTGTATCTTTAGTGACACATTTCATAAATGAAATGCGCACAATATATGCAAAGTAGCTGAGCCCTTTCCACCAACCACGGCTCTGTGTTTTGTGAGCAGGGGAGTTGTGGCTGGATTTGGCAGGAAGTCTGCTTTATGGCACAAAACAGGATAATTGTTATTTTTCTTTCTTTTTTATTCCAGAGAAAACTTTGTGAAACTCTTTCAAACTGTCTAAAACCTTCCTTTGTTTCTGTAAGACTATATTCTGATTAACAGTACAGTCATGTGGCACTTCGCCTGTCATGACATGAATAATGATTCAGGTGTGTCAAATTTCAGTTTATTGCTCACTATAGAGTAAAATGTTTGGTCCCCCTTGTGTAAGAAACAGTAACTGGGTCAGTGAGCCGTGTAAAAGCCCCTACCATACCGTAGGAGCAGGACCCACACATTGACAAAGTTTTGTCTCTTTTTAGTCATTGGGAGCCTTTATTTAGGTGTTTTACACTTTGTGGCCACTTTGCCTTTGTCTGTACTTGTTCTGTGATCCTTTTGGTTCTTCTTTGTAGTTTGCATCTCTGTTTTTGGTTGCTTTGCTTCTCTTTGTAGTCATTTTTGTCTCTGTTTTGCTTGTTGTCTGTGAGGTTGTTTTGCATGGCTTTGTGCTCATTTTGTGGCTGTGTTACATATGTTTTTACTAATTTTGTGTTTTGTTGGTTGACTTTAAACCAACGACAGACACAAAACCAGCCTCGGTATGAAATGTTAAGTTGGTACCAAGGCTCTGCTCCAGGGTCCTCTGACCCTGAGGCTTGTTCAGTAATCCTTCCACAACATGACAAAGTGATGGACAGTGTGCAGTTTCTCAGAAAGATGCTTCTGGAACCAGTGGCTATGCTAAATCATCTTTGTTTAAAATGGGCATGAAGTGATGAGATGTACAACAAATACAATGCTGCAGTTAATTGTTTTTCATATCCACTTTTTTCGGTGTGCTCCCACGTGCAATAAAAAAGTCTATTTTGATTCTTTTCCCCTAGTTAATTGTTTTTCATATCCACTTTTTTTCGGTGTGCTCCCACGTGCAATGAAAAAGTCTATTTTGATTCTTTTTCCCTGTTTGTCAGTCTGAGCTCTTTCTTCTGTGTTCTCATTCTTCTGGCACTCCTGCATTTTTATGTACCTATGATAATTATTAAAGTTTTATTTTTGTATGTCTATTTTTGTTGCTTAATGATTGTGGCTCATAACTGTCACTCACCACAGTTATTTTAAGTCTTGTGGATGCATTATAAGTACTGGTTTCTGGTCTTGAACACGGTGCCCATTTATACCAATGAAAGTTTCCTATTCAGCAGCATATGCCGAAACGGTTTTCCCTCTGGTTGCTCTCATCTTGTGTATCTCTCTGTGCATGCTCGTTATTGTGTCTGTCCCACCATCCATAAACTTTACAATGTATGATGATGCCATCCCCATAAAAACAGCTGACTATCAAAATATTAAACGTGAAATTTGAAATTCATCTATAAAAAATGTAATAATTCAGATGCTTTGTGGACTGTAGGTACGTATTTGTTGGAGTCTCGCCCCCTTAACACATTCATTGGTTGTTTTCCTCCCTGTAGGTGTGGGCAGGCCTTCGTTTCCTGGCTGGTCACTGGTTCTGGGTGAACGGTGCGGATCTGTTGTACTCTGACCTGCCCTTCTGCCCCCCCAACGGGCAGCACTGTGGAGCCTTATCCAAGACTGGCATACACAGCCTGGATACCAGAGACTGTTTGGAGAAAAGGAACTTCCTGTGTTACAGCACGCCATACTGACACCGCTAACGTCACCCAGATCAGAGTGATCACCCACCAGATGTTTAAGTCTTTTACCATATTTAGATGATCGATATACTTTTCAAGTCTTTGTGAACTTTGTGATCATATGGAGGGATTTTTTTTTCGTTCTCTGTAATACAAATCTTGTAATCCAACTCTCCATTTAAGGAAAAATGTCATGCTTCATTTTAGCTTAATAGTCATGTAGTAGCTCAGATATATGCACAGCTTTGAATGTGCCCATTAAAACCAACTCAGCTGCAATCACACATCTTTATGCATCACTGCTTTACCTGGATGTTTTAAACAAACTCGCCAAAGTTAGTTTCACTATTTTTAAATAGCAGTGTTAGCTAGCTCATGTTTTTTCAGTAAATACTGGCAGCCACAGCTGCTGGAGACATGTACCCAAACAGCAGAGAGAGGGTTTCACAGCTGGTTTAAGCAAATCACAAACACACACACACACACACACACACACACACATTGGATTTAGCAAAGTTGTGAGGCTGCTCACTGACACAATGCCTTCCCTAGTCCCTAACATCTAACCTGAACCATCAAACAGTGTCAAAACGTCCTCACAGCAATGGTATAAAACTAAAGTTTGTCCACACAACCATGAAGATGTGTACACACACACACACACAGGTGACACCTAAAAACACACCATAAATCGAGGCTCTTGAGATTAGCTCTGCTGGATGATTGATTGAATTTGATATTTAAAATGTGTAATCACAGAAAATGTTAACCGACAGAAAATTACCTTTGCTGCCAGATAGCTCGCACCTGTGACTGTGCTCCGCCCCCACCTGGCTACACGTGGCCAGCTAACCCTCCTTCAGAGTCACCCTGCTCTCTGGTCACCCTCACTGGGTTTTAATGCAGTCAGATTCACCATATAGTTGTTCTCTGACATCTTTTGTTTCTGTTGTCAGACAACTGAATGAGTAAGAAATCAACACTGCGTGTTCACCAGAAGTTGTTCGCAGTCTGCTGCATCGTGCTGATAAAAATTATTTACATACAATAAGGTGTCTGAGGAAATGATACCAACTTTGCTGCATTTGTGGCTACATTAGCTTTTAAAATGAACAATCACAGAGACTATTAGAGGCTGATTTAACTTCACACTCACTCAGCCCCTGACCCTCGCTGGGGTGGCTCTGTTTACCCTGCACCAGGCTGGTTGTTTAGGACTGATACACTCTGTGGCCTGTTTGGTAAAAGTTCTGTTTTGGCCAGAGAAAATCACCATTTTAGTCTGGACAGAAGGCTAGAAGAGATGGGGAATGTAGACACAGTCTCAGAAGTACAAGTTAAAAGTAATGAGCACAAGTAAAATAACAATGTAGCTGTGGTTGACTGACTGCATGTAAATTGTATTGTCTGCTTTTCATACTTAAGCTTTTTGGTATTGTGCAGTGATTACTGTTGGTTCATTTACCTACTCTAGGTAGTTGGATTTACAACCTTGGATTAAATGAAGCCACTTCCTTATTTGTGTGGCCACAGTGCACTTCTCACACTGTGCAGTTGAGTGATTAACAGTCCAACACGCTGTTCGTAACTCATTCTGAACCACGTCCATGTTGTAATGGAAACACCAGAGGTGAAACTGATTCCAGTCAGGGAGCAGAGAGTCGCTGTGCACAGAAACACGCTCCCTGTAAATCAATATATTCAGCTGGACAAGTCAGTGTCGGTGCTGGCATTAAGCCACGCACGCACGCACACGCACACACGCACGCACGCGCGCTGTTTTCATTTTTTGTGGGGACTTTACATTGACTGACATTAATTTGCTGTTATCCTAACCTTAACCTCACTCTAACCTTAAACCATGTTTCCAACCTAAACTTCTGTGATAGCTGAGTCCCCATAATGTGAGTGTGTTAACAAGTTTCGATCCCCATAACGTAATACAAAGGCACACACACACAGCATCCAGTGTAAGTGTCTGTGTGCTGAAGGCAGCTGGGATCGCTGTCCAACTATCTTGGGAGTAAAACATCTGAGACAAAACAAGGAGATCTTGGATTCTAATTGTGGAAACCTAATAAAGTTTGAGTAGATGTGGAATATCTTCAACCTGAACAAAGGATATGGAGTTAACTGTGATTGGGCTTTTCAGCTCTTTAACATCTAATAATCCATCACTGTGTTTAATGAAACTGCTGGCAGCTGCTCAGCAGTGAATGTTTCACAGATGAGTCATGAGTGAGCGAAACCATTCCAGGAGGCAAGAGTCTTAGAAACCCAATGTGTCTAAATGGGAGGGTGCAGGGGGCTGGGTGAGTGGTTTTTATTTGGATCTTTAATTTAATTTCTATGCGGTCAGTAGCTTCTGAAAACAGCATGGTTAAAGTGTTTAGTTTTCCCTGAGGTCCAATAAAAACAGGATTTCATAAAATAAATCAACAAAACCTAAAACTCCAAACTGTTTGTCACTACTCTACATAGCAAGTCCTGACCGTTTTCTGACTGGGTTCCTTTGATTGGTTAGGTGTATGCACAAAAAGTACTCGGTGAAAAAAGAGTACTGCACAGATTTAGCCTCACACTCCTGTAACTGTGTCCAGACTCACTAGTGATCAGCTGTTCTGCAGTTCACTTCTCCAAAGCTAGAGGTGCCATCTCCCAAATCAAACGGCTACACTGGATGACACATTGTACATCAGATCATCTGGGAGTTTGCACAGTGGAAATGATTGCAGTGCTTTTAGGTCTACAATGGAGAGAACAGGTGTTGATATTAAACATTTTAATCTGCTCTGATTCTGTGGCTGTCCTTAATAGACTGTCATCCAAAAATTCTAGCTGTCAGAGTATTTTCTTTGAAATATGACAGGGATATGTGAGACTTATTCATCAAGGGAAGTCAGTTCACTTTATGTGGGTGCCAGCACATGTGGGTCTGAAGGGAAATGAAGAAGTGGGCAAGGCTGCAAAGCAAGCAAGAAACAGTGGGTCTACTCTTCCTGTTAGGTAAAGCTGAAGTGAAGAGATAGTTTGGAAGAATAACAAGAGCAGTGGAACCTGGAAACAAAGGGGAGGTTCCTTTGTTGTCTCAACAATAACTTCAAACCAATACACAGGAATACGGGTAGGTCAAGGAGAGAGGAGGTCATGCTGAATCAGAATCAGATCAGGACATTCTAACTCAGTACATATAAAACAAGTAGACACCCAACTGGATTATGTGAACAGTGTCAGATAGAGCAGTCAGTAACATGTTATCATTGTTAGAGGTATGTACAAAACAAGCAGTGAAGAATTTAGAAGACCCAAGAATTTAACTATCTTGGGCAGAATTTTGTTTCGATAGGTCTGATGGGTAGAATGTGAACTCTGAGCCACAGTCTGAAGCAGAAGGTGGAGCTAATGCTCCTGTTACAATCGTGTCCAACTGCTGTTAAATACCAAGAAGAAGATGGCATCATCTTCCTGTTCACCTGTAATCAAGGTCACTGTGAACTGAGATGAGCACAAAGTAAAACTATGGTATACAACATTGTATGTAGCTGCACACTTTGAGGATGAGCATTTACATTTGAAAACTTCCTATGACTGTGGATGATAATAGTTTGTGATTTGATGCTCTGACTAAAGGCTTAGCTTGAACTAGTCTGAAGATGCATCCCAAAGTAGCAGACATGTGAGTTTGTCTCAGTGACAAGTCAGTATAAGACACTGTCAAACACAAGACAGGCAAATAGGCAACAGTCATGTCAGGCACATATGATAGAAAGAAGATTTATTTTTTTAAGTTTCTGTTCCGACTGTGTTCCAGTCAAGGTGGAAGTTGTCACAGTACTGTGTGCGACCAGAGGACGGTGGCTTCTAGTCAAGACACCTGCTGAACCCAGACCCTTCTAGCTGTCTCAAAAACAGCTGTGGTGGTGCAGTATGTGGTGGAGCTTGGTGCCTAGTTTCTGTGTGTTGTTTAACTGCGGTAATATGTTTGTCCAAGTGATCTGGTGCAGAAAAAGTGAACCAAAACACTGAGCCTGAGGAGAGATGAAGGCAGATTAGAAGTGAAGTGGAAACTGAGTGTGATGGGAGCTGACATGATTCATGTTCATCGTCATTTTTGGAAAAGTTGATGCCAGAGTTGTGTTTAATTTGTCAATGCAAGCAAATATTGTAGTCAGCTGTGTGATCTAACAAAGCTGTTAACCATCTGCGATTCAGTCCCTTTCTCCAACCCGTGGACCATGACGCTCAGACCACATCCAGTACCTCAGGCCAGGCAGGAATTCCTGACATTTATTATGGAGGAAATGTTGAACTCACCCAGTCATCTTCCTTTTTTATCTTCTTAGCAGCTGAGAAAGAGGAAGCGACAGGAGTGAAAAGTAATTTAAAGAGGGCACAAATTACTGGCAGAAAGGAGGGTAACCTCCATTAAAGTCAGTACAGTTCATGTAAAATCAAAGAGGTGCAGGACTCATTTGCATTAGTGTTCTTTACAACCATCTGACCATGTTTTTCCACCTTCCAACCTGCTGTAAAGATGACCGTCTGTCTGGGGAGCTCCTTCTCCACACTCTTCCTGTTTTATGGATCCCAGAGTCGATCAGCATATCAGTTATTAGACTGAAGCAGACTCCAGACGCAGCATTTACTGCAGTTAAACAACTTATGGGTTGAGTGGAGGGTAGGGCTGCATGTTCTGTACGGTAAACTTTTAAACATCAACATGCTTGTCACTGTAGCCGTGATTGTGGGAATTTCACATGAAGATAATTTGACTCCAACGTGGGAATGGCAGACTCCGCCACTCACTACTAAGATCATTACTGAGTGCAAATACCTCAAAGTATTATTGCCTATGAAAAACTGTCATTAATAGCCAAGATCGCCACACTTCCTGGGAAACCTGGAAACTTTCAGACCAGTTTTCCAGTGATTGAAAAATAATTTTGACATTCTCAACTGTTATTTTTGCTGAGATCAAACCGTCAGATCACTGCAGCAGCTGGAATTAGAGCCAGTGCATTTTCAGTCTTGGGCAAAATGATAAGTCATGTTTTGAAATGTTCTGAGCCCCACAGCATTTTGCAAGCACCCCAGATCTTTTCGCCACAGTGTGACATACATTTCCAATTTGTCATTCGATACATAAATGTTTTTTTTCTGGCACTGAAGAGCCTCTGTGTTGTTTTGTTAGTGTGTGGGCCATGTTGTTTTTTGCCATACACACCTGACTGGTTTGGAATTAAGATTATATGGAATTTAAAATTTTATATGCACTCAGGTCAGGTTGGTGAGGGCAGACTGTTCAAATGTAGCCAAGCAACCAGGAAATGTGAGCTGCTGGCTGATAAAGAGCCACAGCAACCAGGAAATGTGAGCTGCTGGCTAATAAAGAGCTGTGCTGTTTCCACAGCTGTCTCGCTAACATTACATGTTTGGTCAGGATGATATGTTTGCAGCTTGTTTTGCCTCTGGATGTGTCAGGTTTGTGGTTTGACTGTTCTGTACTTTGTTACTGAAAGTTGTGTGTACACATCTATGTGTATTATCTATACACATAGTTGTGTGTACACATCTATGTGTATTATCTATACTGCTAAATAAGGTTGTGGGGGGCTGGAGCCAATCTCAGCTGACAGTGGGTGAGAGGCGGGGTCCACCCTGGACAGGGCGCCAGTCTATCACACTCACACTCACACTCACTCCTACGGGCAATTTAGAGTCGCCAGTCAACCTAAGCTGCATGTCTCTGGACTGTGGGAGGAAGCCAGAGTACCTGGAGAGAACCCACGCAGGCACAGGGAGAACATGCAGACTCCAAACAGAAAGGCCTCGGGTCGGCCGGGGCTCAAACCCAGAACCTTCTTGCTTCTTGTGAGAATCGATGTGAGTCAGGTCATCCCCGCGGTCACATGTTTCTGTAACAGTTGTTTTTTTTCCTCTCATCTGAACATGGTGTGTTTTAAAACAAACTTCCACAGGAAGGAATTTGTTAGTGTCACATACTTTCCCCTCCATGTACCGTCTACCCAGGTTGATACTGGAACATTTTAGTCCATGGACATTAACAGAAATCTGTGAGGTCCTGTGTGGATCCCCTGTTAAAATGTGCTGTATATAATTGATCAACTCACAAAGAAATGGATCTTCAGCTGAATCAAAGAATTTCCACCAGACAGTAACTGTGTGTTTTCTGATGGATTCTCTAAAACTCGGACTCCTCCTCTAGGGAGATACTGGAGACGGTGTTGAAGCTGGCGGTCAGGGCATCGCCATCAGCCTCATGCAGAGCTGTTTCAACAGTCGGACCAGGTTAAATGCTGTGGGAGTGTTGCTGTGGAAACCGCTGTGTGGAGTGTTTGTGAGTGTTTAAGCTCCCGCTGGATTTTGTGGGCGGGTCAGCGAAAAACCGTGTGTGTGTGTATCATTGTTGGCTGGAAATGCCTGGGTGACCTAATGCACATCTGTGTGTGTCGGACTGACACAGAAGGATTTTTAAAAAGTATAGTTTCACTTTTGTCTCTGTGTGTAGAAGCACTGAGCGTCTTATCTTGGTGTTTAAGCACAAACAAATGAGCAGTAGCTTGTTTGTGGTGACAGTGTCAGGACGGTTCAGCTCGTCGCCTCCAGCAGCTGCTGCTCTTCTGAGCTGGCATGTCTTATTCATAACCTGCGCAGCAGTAACCAGATCCAACGCAGTCATTATTCCTGCAGCCTCGTCCTCGGGCTGCTGCTCTCTGAGCTCACACAGCCAGAGCAAAGAGAACAGCTGATCGAAGGTCTGAAGTCGGCCTGCTGTGTTTCTATGTGCACTCATCCTGTGGTGATGTTTTTAATGTTAGTGTGAGTTTACCTGATTCACTAGGGGCACCATGAAGACAGAGGACAATCATTCACTGTTATAAAAACATTTATCTCAGAAATTCCTTCAAAAATAACACATATAGTACCTCTAGCAAGAAAAGTGGTAGAATTCCCCTCCTGCCATTTTCCTACAGTTTCATCTGCAAGTTTTTTTTTATTATGATGTTTGTCTTTTAGACACCTGAGGCCTCTTGAAAAAAGTTGCTGTGTTTGTCCTTTGGTGAGTTTTTTGTGTACAGTAAATATAATACCACCATGCATCAGTGTTTCCCACCTGCTCTCTGTTTCACTGGGTTGTTAGAAATTGTCATGAGCAGGTTGTGACAGTTTGGCCATTTCGTGCACAAGTTTCTACCAGTAGAAGTCCAGGCTACGTTCCCAGAAATGAGTAGCACGGCTGTTGACAGGACATACAATGAATGACAAGTAATGGTCAACATCAGCCTACAAAGTTGAAACCTCCTGTTCTAGTTGTTGAGCCGTTCTAGCTTTGTGAAAAGCTTCATTTGCTCTTGTGTGTGAAACCCTTTAACGCATTTTAATTTAATTTTATGGCTTTAATTATGCATTTTTCATTATTGTAGCATTGGTTTTCAGGTGATATGATTGTTTCTCCTGTTGCTACTAAGATACAGGATATCTACATAGTCTTCCCTGTTACAGTTGGGCTTGGTCAAACATGTCAACATTTAACACCAAAGGTTACGTTATCACCTGAAACACACGTAGAGGACAAACATCCCCAACTTAAACTGGTGACCTTAAGTTGTCTTTAAACGATAAACCAAGAATTGTGCAATGTCTTCAGCGACTGAATTACATTTCCAGACATTTTCTCTGCTTCTGAATGGAAAACAAATACACTTATTTTCAACCCAGCAGTTTAACAGTTGGCACTCTGTGTATTTTACTGATACTCTCTGGTAAAATATACAACATGCATACATTTAATATTGTCACTGATGCACTGTTATAGAGAGAGAGTCACATGACCCCTGTTAGAGTGGTGGTGGTAAACGCTTCAATGAAACCCACATGGAGGGAGGAGAGAGCTGTGACTAAACAGAGAGAGAGAGAGAGAGAGAGAGGCAGGCCAACATGAGCTGCACAGATAGAAGAAGGAGAAAAAGAGAGCAGCTACAGGAGCAGTCTAAAACTCCAGAACCAGAACCCGGGACCACACCCCAGGACCAGCCCGGTCCACCATGTCCGAGTCCATCAGAAGGAGAAGCTCCAGCAGGCAGGTGCTGCAGAACCTCATCAGGTGAGAGAGAGACGCGCTTTAATACACGACACTCGTAGGTTTGTTGTTTCTCTTCTGTGACTGTTTACCTTTTTGTTTATCTGTGGTGCAAGGTAAGTAAGTACATTTACTCAGATGCTTAAGTACAGTTTTGACGTACTTGTACTGAGTATTTCCATGTTCTACTATGTTATCCTTCTGCTTCAGTACAAATATTGCAAGTATTGTACTTTTTTTCTCCACTTGTTAAATTGTACTTATCAGGTTGTTTGCATCATGTTATTGTCATGTATAATAGAAGATGACAGTACCATTTACCAGTTAACGTATCATTATTAATAATCCACTAGTATAATCAGATTATGATACTCACAGCTCCATTCGGAAAAAAAATACTTTTGATACTTTAAGTACATTTTGTTACTAATACATTCATTTGACACTTACTAGTTACTTTGCTATTTTACTGTAAAATATAAAAATAAAGTTTACCTTGACCAGCTCGATCTTAAAATGTGGTAAAACCAGTACAATTATGTAGAAATACTCATTTGCACATGCAGCAGTACATTCAAGATACAGCATGTGTGTATGTAGCATCTGACTGCAGTAGCTGTTGAGGTGGAGCTAGCTGTAGTCCAGTGGGTCCTTTAATTAAAGTTTCATAAGCTTCTCCTATGTCTCTGTAAATCTACATAGTAACTGCAGCTGTGAAATAAATGTAGTGGAGTAAAAAAGTACTGTATTTCTTTCAGAACTGTAGTGGAGTAGAAGTATAAAATGAAATACTCAAGTTTAATATAACATTTTTTTAAGCATCTTACATGAGTAAATGTACTGAGGTGTGATCTATTTTTCTGTCTGTGTCTCTGAATGCAGGAGTTTTATTCATAATGCAGTGTAGTACTGATAGTTTTAATATGTTGATACGTTTAGTGAAGTAAAACAAGTTAATACAAAATACTTTATTGATACTACATAATATTCGATGACTGGAACAAACCACTGAGGAAAACTAAGATGCACAGTGTAGGAACAATTAAATACATGTATGTTCATGTGTTACAGACTGTAAAAAATGGAGACTTTCGGGTGAATAACAAGGAGCATGTTTTGGTCTAGGTGGGAGTAAGGCTGCTTTGACAGACAGGTGCTTTGGCTTATCACCGTCGGCTGTGATGAATGACTCCTCCCACTTCACCTTCGCCCAGGGGGCCTTTGTCTTGCAGCCAGACTAACCCTAGAACACTCACATGCTTACAACATATGCTAAAAACAACAGAAACCAAACTCCAGCCACTGGCTCGCCCATTTTCCAGCTGTGAGATCACACGACTCAGTTTGCTTTAATGGTGCAGTTTCATCGCATCATGCTGTCCATGTCTGCAGCCTGCTCCTCACTCCTGCTGCTTGCTGTCAGAGAGGGCCTTGTTTACTCAGTGTAACATTTCTCTGTGATTTCACTGACAAGGACACTGAGTTCAGTCATTTCTTTTATAGCTGATTTTCCATAATGACCATGACATCATCTGGCTGAGCCCTGAGCGCCCTCCTGTTGAACTGCGCACACACAGAGGCCGTCATTGCCTCACTGTGGAAAAAGTGATGAGTATCAGGCATTTTCTTCATAATTTTCCCAGCAGACCCTGACGGTGCCCTGCAGAGATAGTACACTGACAGCTGTGTTTATGGCATTAACACAGGCCTCATTTACATTTAATAATAAATTTCCCACAGTGCCTTTTGATAGATGGAGGCAGTTGGTGACTTTGATATTTTGAGGCAAAATGTCTTAAAGATTCTGTTGTCTAGATGAATCTAACACTGAGTCTCAGTGGCAGGAGGCTGGAACAGCCTGTGCCGACATCCCTCTCCCCAGCAACATTTTCCAGATCCTCCTCAGGGATCCTGAGGCATTTCCAGGCCAGATGAGATATATAGTATCAGCAGTGTCTCTGGGGTCCACCCTGGGGTATCGTTGTACTTGGAAGGTGTCCAGGAGGATCCCGATTAGACGCCTGAGGCACCTGCACTGGCTCTTTTAGACATGAAGGGGAAGCAGCTCTAGTTTGAGCTCCCTGTACGTATCTGAGCTCATCATCCTTGCCCCAAAAGCTGAGTCCAGCCACCCTGTGGAGGTTAGATCAGCTGGTTTTTATTCATAATCAAATTCTTTCAGTCACGACCCAAACTCTCATAGGTGAGGGTTGGAACAAAGACTCAGCAGTGAACTGAAAGCTTTGCCTTTCATCTTAGCTCCCTCTTCACCACAACAGTCCAGTACAACAGCTACATTACTGCTGATGCTGCCCCAGTCAGCCTGTCAGTCTCGCGCTCAATTTTGCCCTCACTCGTGAACAAGACCCCGAAATACTTAAACTCACCCCTGACCTGAAGGGAGCAATCCATCGTTTCCCAGCAGAAAACCATGGTCTCAGACGTGGGGGCGCTGATTCACATCCATGTTGGATCACAGCCATGCTGGATCACACTTGACCGCACAAATGTCGATTTGATTTACAGGCCTCTCGTTACATGTACATGTACATATACATGTGCCTGTTGGCCAGATCATGAATCTGACTGCATCTGTCTTTGTTTTGTCCTGTGAGCCATGCACATCAGGGCTGGACCATTGCCAGGCCAGAGTGATGCAGCTGAAGCTGTTTGGTAACTCCTAAAGACCCAGTTGTGAACTTCATGAGTGCAGATACAACAACAGCTAGTGAACTATGATCCATAAACAAACACAATCAGAAAATGTGAACGTCTTTGGAAAGTTGTAAAAATGTTGATCCTGGATGTATTAGCACAGTTTGACCTGACAATGTATTATAGTTGTATTCCTACAAAATCCACTTTTAGTGGCCACAGTATCGTTATTTATGGTTTAAGCACTGGCAGCACATGGCTAAGGCTGGTTAGACTGGTTTAAAACAAAGTCTGCAGTGACTTGACACAACATGTTTATTAACATTTACTGAAAGCCATGATCTTTCAGTAACCTTACCCAGAATGATGCTGTTGCATAAACCTGGTCACAGCCTGAACTCAGGAAGCAACAGATAGAGCACTTTATTAATCCCTGTAGGGGAATGAAACAGGGAAAGCACATGAGTTCGGTTTAAACCTAACTTCGAGGAGGCAGAGCTGAACAGGAAGATTGATGGCAAACGTCAGCTGTTGTCCTCACAGGAGACAGACCCTCAGGTCATAGAGTCGCACCTCAGAGGATTTCGATCTGTCTCTAATGTGGCGTGTTGATTTACAGCGTAGTCCTGCTGTATGAATTAAGCACAAATAAAATAGTCATCAGTTCGTACTTGAACTGCAGTAGAAGAAGAAGAGTAGAAGAGGAACAACTCACATTCAGAGGAAAGAAGAAATAAATAAGTATTTTGTAAACCTGCGTTATAAAGTGTTAAAGTTGTGGGCTTCATAGAAATAAATAAGTATTTTGTAAACCTGTGTTATAAAGTGAAGTTGTGGGCTTCAGAAAGCTGATCTATCAAGCAATGCATAAGTTGGTAAAGTTTAAACAGGTCAAAGGGAAGCTGATATTTGTTCACTGACATATCTTTCTTACATAGTGAGTGAAGCAAATGACATGTATTGATCCCTCTAAGTTGGGCTGTCAATCCAAATTCATGCTATGGACAAATGGTTTATTTCGTAGTGGCCACAGTATACTGTATGTGAATTTACATTGTATTTCATACTCATTCTCCTTGTTGCAGTTCAGGCAGCACTGCTAAGGTCCAGACAATCAGACCTGATCCCCATCTGACCCCTTTCCCCTAAACCTTCCTGACTGAGAAGCTGACACAGGCCTGTCACACATCAGAATGATTTACAGTGGACTAAAGACTGACTCATGCCAATATGGCATCCACTGCCTTTCTGGTGAGACTGAACTTATGTAGGTCACTTTCCCACATAATGATCGCGGCATGTTTGACTCACGACCGTTCGTGTTGTCACCAGCTGTCTTCACCAGTGACATCAGCGTCAGTGAATTTAGTCTTTTTACATTAAAGATGCTTTTTGTGGTGACCTCATCAAGACATTTGTCTTGATGAACTGAGGCACTGAAAATGAATCATGTTTGGATGAAGGCCATTACATGGCAAGTAAAAACACTAATGGTTTGCATGTTTCCATGAGAACTAACAGGCCTGAGGCTTTGGTCTGTTTTTGTCCCATGATGCTGCTGCAGAGTTGTGAGCCTCACAAACATATTTCACCAGTCAGCCAGGGTTTCCCAAAAGGGTGAGGCCTCCAAACAAAGATGGCTACCTGCCAAAGGGCGTTGGCAGTACACGAGAGAGGCTGTAGTCTGGTCCAACTGATGGCATGTCAGAATAGTGCTACAGTAAATAGAAGATAAGTCTACAACTTGCTTTGGCTGCAACACTGTCCAGCAACAGAATGACTGATGTTGTGCAGAGATACAGATCTGTGTCATGAAGGATTAGACTCCCCCCATCCTGCTCCTCCTCTCTCTGCCTTTGTTTCTCTCCAGAGATTGAAATTAAGTGAAACAGCACAGCTGCTGGCTCCAGCTCCACCAGATGTGTTCTGACAATAAATAGAGTTATTGTCATCAAGTCCCGCCCACTGGTAACTAAAGCCGATCACACAGAACTGAAGGAGCTCTGTTATGAAAGAGAAGTCAATTTTTCCTCTGTGCCTGTGTGGGTTCTCGCCGGGTACTCCGGCTTCCTCCCACAGTCCAAAGACATGCAGCTTAGGTTGATTGGTGACTCTAAATTGCCCGTAGGAGTGAGTGTGGTTGTTTGTCTACATGTCAGACCTGTGATGGACTGGTGGCCTGTCCAGGATGGACCCCGCCTTTTGCCCAGTGTCAGCTGGGATTGCGGAAAGTGGTACAGATAATAAGTGGATGGCTTTCCAGTTAAACATATTCAAATCTGGATCCAATGCAACACGCCCCATGAGTTATGATAATTGACTTTTACCAAAAGCCTTCTGTTTTCATCATAGAAACTTCAGACCAACATTTATCCACCCGTTATGCACACAACCTCCAGTTTTTAATAAATTAGTAAATAAATTAAATAAAATATGACCCAGTGCAATTCTGACTTGTATTTTTCCACAGAGGTCCTGTTATCATTTTAATTTCTACAGGGCCATTAAATCCAGGCAAAAATGAGTCAGTTTATCCTGTTTAAATCAGCTCCACTTTGGCCGTCGGTTGTTGTTTAACAAAGTGTTTGGGCAGGGTCCCAGCGCCAGATTAATCACCTGATCAATCAGCCTCCCAGACAGTCGGCTGAATGTCAGACAGCTGCAGCTGCATGTTGTTATTCTTTTTTCCTTGATCTTTGTTCACAGTCGAATGCTGCGTTTAGTGTAGTGTGAGTTAACACATCATCCAGGATGAATAACGATCACAGTGTCTGCCCAGTTTAATTGTGACACAGCTTTTATTTGGCCTCACTTTACTCTGTGCATTTGAGACTAAATAATTTGAACAAATACAGTTGCAGGTAGTAACTTTGCATTACTCCTGTACAGTCGACCAGCTTTTCAAGTAGCACAAGTTGATTTAGAAAATGTTTTACTTGTGGTTGTAGATGTCAGCCTTGTGCGAATTAGCCGACCTGCAGGTTCCAGTTGTTCCATTCATTCTGTGATTGTGTGATGCTGAACTTTGGTCAAACCAACAAAAACAATCAGCGTTACTGGCTGCTGTCGATTCCTGAATGAAGCCGGGCTGAGGGTGGCGGCGTCTGTGTTGACAGCCTGTTGGTGTCCATGCTGCCTGCAGGGTGACAGCCCAGCGGAGCCAGGAGGATGCTGAGGAGGTGGAGCGGGAGCGAAGGAGGAGAGCCAGGGAGAAGCAGAGAGTGGAGGGGAGACCGTCCTGGCCAGAGCCCCCACCTCACAACACTGGGTGAGTACAACGACACTGTGCCACACCAAAGGATGTTGTACTGTATCACATGTCACTCCTCTGCTACTTAAATTATTTATTGCTTTATAGCGTTGTGATGTGCGAGTACTTCTAATCTCGATGTATTCTGTACAATGACAATGAAGGCTTGAACCTGATAATGCATAAAACAGTGTAGTACTTTTGTTTCACACATACTGAGTCTGCATTATTTGGTTAATTGCAAGTTTGGCAATTTGTTATTTCAGTTTAGATGCAATACTGGTGGAGGACACTGTAAAACCAATGTTCTCCTAAAATATAAAACATTAAAGTTGCTGTATATCATCTTAAATTCTTTATTCCCCTTTAAGCTCTTTATTGTTAAATGAGTTTTAGCAGCTCCATACTATGAGATTATCTTAATGTACTGCGGGGGTTCTACAGTGTGTTTGTCCTGAGTCAAGGGGAGCATGAAACAAAAGGCTCAGCCCCCCAGCCAGATGTTTCTGTACAGTCCCTGATGTTATTGTTTTCCCAAATGAAAACTCAGACCCATGTGATTTTATGTACCCTTGGCTTTGGTGCAAATAAAACTGGAAGACATTTTCTAAAAACTATATCAAAATGTCTCAGGGGTGTTTGGAGGAAGCATGACCGTACTGAGCAGATATTGTTTCACGTGTGATCCATCCTAACAAAGTATACTTTATGTGTGTCTGAGTCATAGCAAATGACTTATTAATGGTTCCAAAACAATCTCTTCCTGCTTGGCAGATCAGTAATTAATCCTAAACATTTGAGTTGACAGGCTTGTCCTGGGTCCTGCCGCTTCAACTCCACAGGTTTGGAATGGATAGATTCACATGTGTGTGAGCAATGGTGAAAAAATCATTTTGCCAAAAGTGGGCTGAAGGATTTATGTTTTTTGTTTGTTTTTTGCTTCTCTGCTTTGTGTTTCAAACATTATTAGCCAAAGCATGAGACTGTTTATTGTTGTATTAGTGCTGATGAGGCATCAGGCTGCAGTGCCTGTGTTTGATGTTTCCATTGGTACGTCTCTGTTGCCATGGAGCCTGAACCTGCAGGTCTCGTCTGCCGTTGGCCCTGTTGGAGCTTCAGGTCTGATGCCCGTGGTTACTCGGACCAGAAGCTCACATCTTACAGGTGGTGGTTAGCAACATAGCCTCACAGCAAGAAGGCTCCCTGTTCGACCCCAGTGGCCAACTGGGGCCTTTCTGTGTGAAGTCTGCATGTTCTCCCTGTGTCTGCATGACTTTCCTCCCACAGTCCAAAGATTAGATGACAAAAGAACATCTGTGGCTGTTGTTTGTCTCTGAAGCCAGAGAACCAACATTTGGCCAAAGGTGAAGCCTAGAAGGAGGTGACATAGGCATACAGTATGTGCCCGGAATGTACACATGTCCTAGACACAAGAAACTGTGGGATTGAGAATAAATAAATAGATAAGAAGTAAACGTGTCAGCCATGGCCGGGGACATTATGTTTCGAGGTTGTTCATCTGACCCATTCTTGTCAACAGGATATCTCAGGAACGCCTTCAGGGGTTTTCTTCAAATCCAGCACAAACATTCATTTGGACTTGAGGATGAACTGATTAAATGGTGGTAAAAGGTTAAAGGTCACCGTATCCTTATCCAGTTCTACACTGTAGTATTGCTAGTTTTACTTCATTAAGAGTACTATTCAAAATACATGTACAGAATACAGAAATCAGTCCACATTGCACTGTGTTGCCAGTATTTAGAATATATGTATTTTATACATTTTGAGGACAAGATCTTACCATGCTTTTAACCAAACTGTTTACAATTGCTAGTCAAACATACACTACATATGGTGCTTATTTCCTGTGCAGCAGCTACATGTTTGACTCTGAGCTTTTTGGTGTCTGCTGGGATTGGAGGGTTCATCCAGACTCAGAGGCAGAAGCCTAGGCCCTAGTAACTGAGGCCAGAAAGTACATTCAGTCAACCTCTAACCCACTGACATGATTGTCTAATGTCTGGATTTCTTGAAAGTAAAACTTAAGCCAGCAGAAAGACCCTGCCTCCTGGCTGTCCAATCACAGACAGGTAAATGTTCTGTACTTCTTCCTCAGGTTGGATGAGGAGCTGAAGCCTAGCTGCCTTTTGGTTCTGGAGGAGGACGAAGGCTTCAGTGACTGGACTCACAGGTTGGAGAACCGTCATGAGCAGGAGGCACAGGACAACTGCAGAGCCAGCGAGCAGAGACCTTCTGCACCACAATGGGCAGAGCCTGAGGATCAGGAGGACAAAGAGGAGGTGGGACAAGAGGCAGAACAAAGCAGCCAGTCCCAGGAACCTTCAGCATCACCTCCAGAAAAGGTACATGTCCTAACAGATCGGTTCTTCAGATGTTGGGGCTTTCATCGATATTTCATCCTCATCGTCAGGTCCAAAATATACAAGCTGTTCCATGCAACAGTTAACAAATGTTAGCAGGCTGCCATGCTCCACTAAAAGACTGTAAAATGTCTTGTACCTGCTATAAAAAGAACATTTTAGCATTGTCATTGTTCATCTTGGCACTTAACTTAAAGCACTGCTGTGGCAACGTTTTCCCAGAGCTTTATGTATGTACACTCTTAATGTTGTTTAAACACACACTGTGGAAGTATTATTTGTACTTCAGTCTTCTTTAACTACCTTTTATTTACACCCAGAAAGCCCTGTTTTACACGTTTGTTTATAATGCAAAACCAAAAATAAGTTAAAATTCAGATCTAAATTATAGGAATAAATGCATCAACTGAGCGAGTGTTAATCAAAGAAATCATGCTTTAACTAAAAGCTTAAAATGGGCAGCTAATCAAGGCCCAAGAGAGGTCGGTGAAACTACAGGCAGGCACAGCCTCTGCTCTGTATGAATCCATAAAGATGTAGCCGTAGCCTATATCTGAAAACAGACTTTCCAAGCTCAGTGTTTACCATTTAAACATGTAGTTCTGTACATTTCTGGTACATTCCTGAAGCATCAGACACAAAATGACCTGCTTTGCTTTTGGCTTATTTTAGATGTCCAGCATCAGAAAGGATGCCAGACCGTCATACAGCTTGTCGGTGTTTCTGCCACAGGACGCCAGGCTGCAGCGTGCCACAGGCCAACCAGCAGACAGGATGTCCTACCTGGTGGCAGGGACACTGAGGCCGCCGTGCGTTCACCGCTCATCTTGGTGTCATGTTCTCAGCTGCTTAGTGGTTTTAGTACATTGTACAGTACAACATGCATAAATACAATTGCACAAATGAACATACTTTGACAGAGGGGACAGAGAGTCCACTGGACTCAGCTGTATCATGAGTTCACTTTATTAAAATGATTCAAAAATTGTTCCAGAAACAAATAAAGCTGCATCACAACATTTAACAAGGCTCTGCCTGTTTAACAGTTTAACAGGATCGGCCTACTGTAGTGTACTTGCCAACAGTGTGTATTTCTGTGTTGGCACTTTAGTGTGAGTGGTTTCTCTGGGATCTTAGACAGAGACAGGGACATTCGCGTTCTATAATTACTGTAGTTCCAAACTGCACATGCTAATGAGACGTGCCCCTGTGTGTATTCCCACTGTTCTGTTATCTCCAGTTTCTGGTCCTGTAGTGTTTGGCTTCTGTTATCTCCAGTTTCTGGTCCTGTGGTGTGTTTGGTTGCTGGCATCTGTATCAGAAACCAGCTTATTGACCAGTTCCATTATCTCCACCACAGTGGACGGGTATGCAGAGTGGATGGGGAGGTGGAGCGGAGCAAAGAGGAGGAAGAGGTGCAGCACACTTTACGAGCTGAAGACGATCTGGAGGAGGAAGAACTGAGCTTCATATGTGAAGAGAGGGATGACTTCCAGCTCGGGAGGGAGCAGAGACACAGGGAAGAGGAGGAGGAACAGCATAAGACGCCACACCAGGTATTTATTTATTTATTTATTTTCTGTCTGAGGTTAACCTAAATGGTGCCCTGGCCAAGACAGCAACGTTTATAAAATCAGAAAAAGACAACACAATTACAACATTAAATCCAAAGCTGCAAAGACAAAGTAATTAAAACTATATCAAAAACAGACATAAAAAGTAAAGACAGAGGTAAACAGTGAAATCACATTTGTCAGTGCATTTAAAGGAATTAAGAACAGGAGGAGGCATTAAAGGACTCATCAGTGCGGTTACAGTAGACTCAAATTGGGTCATAAATCTACAAAGATAAGGCGTTTACATAGTATGGCTTTATACATATACAACCCCAATTCTAAAAAAGTTGGGACACTGTGGAAATTGTGTGTGTGGGTGTGTGTGTGTGTGTATACTGCTGCTATTGCTATTTATGGCACTAGTGAAGAGACCATTAGATGACATTTGTTGGTTTTTTTCCATCATCTGTCATCTTAGTGGATACCAAAATAAAGAATTTTCTTTTTGTCAGGTCATTGTTTCAACCTAACACTTCAGTTCATGACAAGGAATCTTAAAATCTAACAACCTCATGTCCATGAATTGTGTTCCAAAATTTAATAAAGTCCAATGGTGAGATCTCCACAAACTTTTTAACAAACACATCCATGCTGCCCATCCTCAGGCCAAACTGTCGGTTCTGCTCAGATTTATCATCAGTGCTAACCATGTCTGTGTACACATCTCGCTGATAACGTCGCTCCAAAGCTCATCTGTAAGGTCAAGCTTCACATTTCTAAAGTGTGTGCTGAGAGTTCTGTTTAACACCTACACAGTGCGGCGTTAAAGGGCTGTTATTTGGGCCTTAGACCAGCACGTCTGTTCTAGTGAGCATTTACAACTCGTGGTGTTATATAGAACGTTTCAGCAAACACATGTATACATGTATTATTATTATGAACTGTACGTTTCTAGAGTCTGGCTTCAGATCTGAAAGTAATAGAGGACAAGAATGCAGCTTTGGCTCACAGAGTGTAGAAATGAGGCTCGACGAAAGCAGCGATGTAACAGATTCCAGCTTTCAGTGGTTTGCAGCTATTCATCAGTCGTCACAGGGTATGGCTGAGCAGTTTCTTTAAAGAGCCATAATTTAAAAGAGGGTAAGAGACAAAGAGCCATATGGGATTATATTGTAAAGCATGTCTAAGAATTTAACTGACACGCTGAAAATCTGAGGCAGGGATCTGATCATACCTGATCATACCTGATCAGATCCCTGCTTGTGAAACTGTGTTGGTGTTGTCTTAGAGATCAGTGGAGAGCAGAGCCTGGAGGAGTGAGGAGGTGAACAGAAGAGCTGCAGATTCTCTCTGCAACAGCAGCGACAGCGAGGAGCTGGTAAACTGCTACGGTCCCATGAGCCCCACATTCAAGGTATCTCATCAAACCAAAAGTCTGATTAAAATATTTTGAGATATCCTTAAGTGACTGTGGTGGAGGTGACAGGCAACACCAGTATCTTGTTTCATGTTTCTACTTGTGTTAAATAAATAAGATGTAGATAGATAAAGATACCATGTCATATGATCTCATATTAGCCTTCATAACACACCTGTGCAGTAAGTTAGACTTTAGAGAAACTACAGCTGAAAGGTGAGTGGTTCAAGGTTTTGATCTGATTGCCTTAATCTACATTCCTTACATTAAAATCATTATGATAAACAGGAATTTTCCTCAAAAACTACATTTCCCATGAACCTGTAGATTCTGTTGCAATAAGGATGTTTTCACCAACTCAGCTTAGAAGAAAATCCTCCTGTATTACAAAGCGTGTGATCAGTGTAGTTCAGCTGTAGAGGCCACCAGTCTGCTCAGTGACTGTTCCTGTAATACTCTCAGTGCATCTAATATTGTGATGATGGGAAACTGTTTGTGTTAACACTGCTGTCTCTTTCATGCTCCCTGCTGCTCTACCAGAAACTCCTCATACAGTTTTACCCAGTAAGTACCGTTAATGTGTCAGCTTGACTGTGTGCACTGTCACATTGTGCTGCACTGGCTGAAACAGGAGCAACACAGCGCATGTCACTGCCTGAGGTGTCAGGGCTGCTGGAGCCAGCAGTCACTCAGCGTGCTGTTTTTTTTACAGGATGAGGTCAACAGAAGAGTCTCGACAGATGGAAAATGCACGGTCAGTAGCATATTACCTACCCCAAATATGAATGTCTTTTGTTTGAAAGTGAGATGACACAAAACTATAAAGAGGTCAACTAGAAATGCAGAATGACCAAAAAGATACAAGACTACTACAGAGACTGAACACTGAGCTTACTGCGCCCTAACCACTAGCCTACCAGGGACGGCTATTGAGCTTTCTGAGACATAAAACAACTAAAACTTGTTTATTCTTTTCCAGTCTGCAGGATGTATATAGGAGGGGTGAGGGCCTTTCTGTCCTAATTGATCTGAGGTTGCAGATCACTGCTGCTAGCTTACTCTTTGCTTCTGTTGTTTGTTGGGCAAATCTCTGCTAATGAGGTAAACCTAGGGCCTGTTTTTTTAACCAAGATTAAAGTTATATTAGCTGGAAAGTTGAATTAAGGTCTCATTTTAATGTATTCCATGTTTCAGATTTTTGTGGGGTTCTCAAACCCAACTCCCAAAAACCAGTGACAGGGAAGCATCTGTGGGAAAATGTTTTTAATATGTACATAACAACTTCGTGCCAGTCTGAGTCTGAACTGCAGCCTGTTTCAATAAAACTCTGTCACTAGATCATTCCCAGGTGTTTGTTATGAGGATAATTCCTGAGTTTTAACCAACTGATTGTCTTTCATCAGATCACAGAAAGAACAGAGTCTTTGAGGAAATGGTGAGTTTGTGTCTGTGTGCCATCAGATCGATTTAAGGCTGAATCAGCAATGCAACAAAACAGTCACCGTCACTGCTATGACACACCAGAATGTGTAGTGAGCTCGTGCAGCAAAGATAAGAAGCTGTTTCTGTACCTTGATTTCTAACAGAAAAATATTTTCACCATGACTGATCTGAACTTTTATCCATTCTTCTAAAGCACCAACACCATGAAGAAGACGCCGTCACCTGTCGCTGTTTCTAAGATTGACAAGAAACTGGAGCAGTACACACATGCTCTCGAGGTAAAACCTCAAGTTTTTAATGGGAACTTCTTTTATTGACTATTAGCAGGTATTTTGAGATATTTTTGTACACTCTGACACTTCATCCACAAACTGCAAGTCCAGTTGTACCTTTTAAGATGAGAGCAAGATGTACATATGTTTGTCAGGATTACCAGTTCCTTGCTGTCCTTACTGCAGCTCCCATACTGACCAAGTTCTCTCAGTGAAATAGCCATGACCGGAGAGGACACATGTTTTGCTGTTACTTGGAAACCACTGAAGGCTGGCTGGATTCTTAATGCAAACCACACACTGTTCTTTTTGTTCTACTCTTAAACATCCCATTATAGCAAAACAATTTACTTGCTCAGGATTTGGACACACGGCTAAAACGGTGGAGGGTAAATGCAGTGTACTACAGTTTTCTGTACCCAGATACAGGCTGAGTCATCAGTGTGAAGGCCCAATGTGGAAAACCCTCAAACTCTGGGTGTCACCTACTTTATTCTTCACAGGTCTCCTCAAAGGAAAGCAGACCGGTGTGTCAGGTGCTGACAGATGCAATGAGCCCCACTGAACCCGTTGCTTCCAAGAAGAGCCTGTTTGAGGCCGGAGAAGCCTGGAGCCAAAACCCCGTCCCAGTCACACCATCTAAGGTTGTGATGATGTTAACTGATGATGTCAACTTTATCAGTCGTGTGATCTCAACTTTTTACAGTCTTGCTGTAAAATGTTGAGGAGTTCACAAGTTAATTTTTTTTTTCATTCACTGGTGAAATCCCTCTGTATCATTGTTTCAACACTGGATTTCTGTTGGTGAATGCAGAACCTTTGAAGAGTGTACAATTTGCCTAAAGGCACCTTGATCCAGTGATTTGTTTATTCACACTAATCTTTTCTATGCCAGGATGCAGATGGTTTAAAAGTGGGTGTGGCTGATCTCATCAATCAGTGGGTGAGAGGAAGCGAAGATGGGAGCGGGTGCAGCTCACCCACCATACCTGCAGTAAGCCAGAGCACCTTCTCATCCTAAATATTATGCCTGACATACCCTGACAGTGTGAAATGTGCTTCTTTGTCTTGCATCACCTGATCTGTTCTCTCACCAAGTTTCACTTTTTTCATGAGGCATACAGTTTTTTCTTGTCAGCATTTTATAATTTTGATTTTTTTTTAAGCTGTTGTGATTTTATTTCATGACTTTTCAGTCCATGATATTGTCTGTTCCCCTCTGATTCATGCACCCTCCACCTGATGTAAATCATCTGCCCCCTTGTGGCAGCAGCAGCATCATTTAAGCCCAGAGAAATGACAAAGGTGTTTTGTTTATTTAACATTTTCAGGAAATAAAACCGGGAGGTGTTTTAAACAAGAAAAACTTATGGGAGAGCCTTGGTGACACAGTGTCTTCTGGAAGGGAAGGAAAGGTATGAATTCACATCCAAATTAGTTGTGAATTAATCTTTGCATTGTATTTATCATACAAGAGTTTTTCCACACAGTAAGTGAGGTTCGCGGCCTTGTTCAGGTCTGTTAAAAGCACAACTTTATAGTGCTGAACACTTTTGTTTCGTGCACATTGTAACCACAAGAGCACTTTTTATCTCCTATGCTGGAAGTGAACAGTTAAAATGTTGCAATAGTTCCTTCACCCACAGCTAACCCCCCCTTATTCAGCTGCCAGATTCCTTGAAAACAGATGTTGAGTAAGAAATGAGTCCTTTAACGTGTGAAGTCTGTGGTTCCTAGTGTAGGGTGGTCCCCAAACCTTTAGGCTTGTGACCATGTACACAGTGAGGCAGTGTCTATTTGTGTTGCTGCTGACACTATGGCTGTAGTTTGGACATAAAATAAGATCAGTTCAAGCTAAAAGTGAATTTTCCTTCTCATATTTTCATCTGAAATAAAATATTCATACTTCATACAAAAACTTGGAATTAAGTTTAAAATTGTAACACTATCCTATCTCGCAATTTCAAAAGCTAAACCATATGAAAACAGGCTGATTTAGCAGGATTGTTGATCTGACTGTTGTTACAGCACACACACTGTGACATAAACATAAATCTATCTATAAATGATGCTCTCTTAACTGAATTTCAGGAGACCTCCTCTGGTAAAAGGCATAAATTTGTGGTGACTGGTCACGGCAAGTACGAGAAGGTTTCTGTTGACAGCAGCGATGACATAAACTGTCAGTCAGGTAAGAAAGTACTTCAACCAAACTTTATTTTGCAGGACAAAAAGCTGTGAAAGATATAAATAATGGTTTCTAGATGTAATACTGTACTGTATGATTTTAATTTTCTTCAAAAGAATGCTATATAAATATCTTATCTTTACTGAGCTGCACATAATGACATGTATTTACTTATTTACTTTAACTCATTGAATAAACTGTGCATCATCTTTAATGAAATTGGTGAAACTGATGCAGATTTAAGTAAAATCTCTGGACGTAAGAGAATTTTTAACCTATTAATTGAAAAAAAAATACTTTTGCTAAAGTGAAGGAGTTGCTGGGACAGACAAACATGGTTGTGTTTACTGGAGACTACTGGAGTTCTCCCAGTAATCAGTTACCTCGAGGTCCCTTTAAGTTACATTTAGAACCAGTGGTAGGAGAAGTACTCGGAACCCTTAAGTAAAAGTGGCAATAGAACAGTGTAAAAATACTCAAGTTACATGTTAAAGTCCTGCATTCAAAATGTTACTCAAGTAAAAGTGCTAAAGTATTAGCATCAAACCATAAATAGTGCTAAAAGTAAAAACACTCATGCAGAACTGTACATAGGACATTCCTGTATATAATATTGTATTATATTTACTGATGCATTATTGTGTAGATCACATTTAATGTTGCACCTGGTAAAGAGGGAGCTAGTTTTAACTGGCTTATATGCATTTAATTTGAATTACTTCTGGGTAGCTTGTGAATTTTCCACCACAGATCAGCGAGGTCTTATAACTTGTATTTATCGACCCTAAGGTCCCCTCCTAAGGGGACCCTCGGGCTGAACGGAAAATACAGGAATGCTACGCACGTTGTGATAGCCGACCCCCAACAATGTATACATCAAAATGTTCAGCGAAACCTCGGCTACAACGTCATATAAACCATTTTTCCACACAATAAACACAGCAAAAGCAATAAAGCACAAAAGAGCAACATCTCAGGCCCACTAGGAGTCCACTACCAGGCATACGATTCATATTTTGTCATATTTTGCCGACTATAATCCATCAAAACACCGCTAGCCACGGCTCAAAACAAAGCCCACACTTCACAGAATGGTGCGGTCTTATCGACTGCCATTGGTCCACGATGCTGTCAAAAAGGTCACAAACTTGATAGCCTCGTTCTATAGGTCGAGAGGAATCCAATGAGGGGTCATTTGTCTGAGTGTGGAAATCTGGGACCAAGCTATTGTCCTGCAAATGAGGAGAGCGTCAGCTCTGGCTGTGCCGTGTTCCATCTTTATTTACTCTTCAAAAACAAAACATCGAATGGTATTTACACCTCCTGACAAATCTCACAAGTGTTCCCTTTCGTTTGACACCAAAAGTAACCAAATACACCGTGTGGTTGCGGAGATATACACATTTTATTTCGGGGAGGCGCCGTCGATTTAAATCCCCCAAACAGGCTCCGGGCTTATATTAATCTGGTTCTGAAAAGTAAGTAGCAACAAAAGTTATAAAATAAATGTAGTAGAGTAAAAAGTACACTATTTCCCTCAAATGTAGTGAATTCAAAGTATGAAGTAACAGAAAATGAAAAGTCAAGTACAGATACCTCAGAATTGTACTTAGGTACAGTACTTGAGTAAATATACTTAGTTACTTTCCACCACTGTTTAGAACAGATTTTAAAAGAGATTAATTTGCAGTTAATTGAGTCGATGATGGACAATCATGCAATTAATCACAAATAAATATTTTAATAAGTTGACCAGGCTAATAAAAAGCAATCTTTTTACAGGATTTGCTGATGATGACAAAAATACAGAATAACACCAGCTTTATCATTTAATGAGGACTCATCAGCATTGGTGTTTTCACCCTTGAAAGTAGTTGCAACTACTTCTCTTGCGATTGGCCACTACTATATTATGTGATTTAAAAAATGAGAAAGACAAGAATTTCACATTCATCTTTATGCTTGTTTGAGAATCACAAACAAAAACATAACTAAAGCATCAGTGCAGTGATTGGAACTGTGGTTAAAAAAGTCCACATCCACACATGATGATGATCTTTAGGAAAACAACAATTAAAATCCAATAAAGAAATAAAAACAGGTCAAGATATCTTCGACATGCAGCAGCAAAATCCTTCAAAGCAGTCAAATATCACATACCACAACAGATATCTAACCTTCCTCTACAGTTATCACTCCATTGCCATCAGTCTTCCTACAGGAGGCCTTTCCCCATTATCACCATCATTCACTGGTATTCACTTCTATATCCTTAGTACCGTCTAACCTCTGTATTGATTATTGCCTGGATGATCCCTCACTGGCTGCAAACATTATCATGTCGTTGTTGGATGAAAGTCTCCAACTTGCTCAAACTAACGAAAACGCTTCACGAGTATGTAACCCATAACTTGATATTTCACCAAAAGTTGCCTCAACATTATGAAACAGGACACCTCTGGCAGACATGGTGAAACAGAAATTTGATTCTGAGATGTACCAGTGCTGGGCAATATATAATGTCAGATAACACCAAAAAGCAATTATGATGTCATTTTTTTTTCCAAAGTAATTTTTAAAACACTTGAAAATGCAATCTCACTTCACATTACTGTGTAGTCCACAGGCTCCCAGACCTTTTCTGCTGGGCCCTCCCCTTTTGTGAATCAAACTATTTTTGAACCCCCTCCCACCCTCACCATCACCTGCCCCCCAGTTCTAGAGCAAATGTTGTAGTCTAACAGAACCGAGACTAAAAGTATATAGGCATATTAGCTACCGAAAATACTAAAATGCCGATACTCATGTAAATTGTTTCTAATATTTGCTGAGGCTGACCGGAATGACGTTAATTTAACGGTTTAGCCATAAACAAACGAACAGGAACATTTTTAATTTTACCTCATGGTGGTGCTACAGGAAAACTCCAAGGGTCACCATAATCCATAGGATTCATCCTTTAGAGACCATGAACATCTGCACAAAATTTCTTGGCAACCCATCCAATAGATGTTCCGGCATTTTGATCTGGACCTAAGTGGTGAACCCACAGACAGACACACATTGCTATCCCTAGAGTCAAACAGAAAAAACAATGCCATCACCTAAGCACCAATAAACCTATTTAAATTCTGTAAATCATTATTACTGACATCAAAAGATTTTTAGATGTCATCATATTTTTCCATATTGCCCCAAAAGGTACCAGACCATGTGGTTGTAGTTTCCTGCTCTGATCGAAAGCCCTGAACATACCCAACACATTTCCATTCATATCTGACTTACAGAAACCAAAATCTTTTCTGACTGTACCTTTGCCCTTCCTTCATTTTTGCTTTTCTTTGTTCAAAATTCATCTGCCCTGTTGTTCCAGGAATGTAGAAGCCCTATTTATTACAGATAATACAAATTGCCTACCAGCGGTATAAACTACTTTGTTTAGAAACAATTTTAAAAGTAGGATCATGACAAATGAAATATTTTATCTATTAACAAAGTATCTAAAACTACATGAATGTAACATTACATCCAATCCAGGCCATCCAAAATAAAAAAAAAATCTACAAAAGTAGAGCTGCAGTGTCTCTTTCTATTATTGCCTTGTTTCTTTTGTCAAGTAAAATCCTTGTTTGATTTTTTTTTTAAGTGCAAGGACTTCAACCCCTGTATTACAGCTATATTATTTTTGACATTTGAAAGCTAACTTACACAACCAAATAACCACAAATTATGAAAATATCAGAAAAATACTGTAAGAACTTGTTTTATGGCTGAATTTCTTTTAACTAAATTTGAGTTTAAAGACCAATGGCAAAGTTCTAGCAGCAGTATTGGCTCTAGAACAGGGGTGGGCAATTCCAGTCCTCGAGGGCTATCCTGCTTGATTTCCAACTATCCCTGCCTGACCTGCTGCTGATTACCTGGCTCAGGTGTGTTCAGTCAGTCAGAAGCTGGAAGATACCAATTCACTTTATCTTTCCTCACTCCACTTTTATCTAAGATGGTATCTTCCAGCTTCTGACTGGCTGAACACACCTGAGCCAGGTAGCAGCAGGTCAGGCAGAGATAGCTGGAAAGCAAGCAGGACAGCGGCCCTCGAGGACTGGAATTGCCCACCCCTGGTCTAGAACATGGTGATTAAGCAGTAATCAATAACAGTCTTCTTTCCTCTCAAGAATAATCTACCTCTTCACTGCAGCCCTGACTTTATAATATTAACTTTATATATTCTGTTGCAAAAATCCACAAATTATTTGTTTTCTTCCAAATTTTCTTTGTTCTGTTTGCTGTTCTATTTTCTGGGACTCCCTCACCTGTGGCTTTTTTCATGATGAATTACCCAGCATAGAATTCATTTACAAAGCACTCATCCCAATCCCAATACGGTTTTGCATCAGTTAACCTTACATATCTGTAGTTCTTTTTGAACCAAATCCTTTGGCTGTTCTGTTAAAGTCCTTAGTTTCATCCTCCTGGGATTTGCGTTTTATCAGTCCCATTCCAAATGCTGCTGCTATTTTTGAGAGTGGCTTTTCTACTGCTTCTTTAAGCTTTCTGGCATCAAAACGGGGGCTGTACAGTAGAACTGGCAGGCGATTGACAAAAGAGGGAACTTCCACCTGGTTGTCTTTACATGCCTTCTTCTTGTCTGAATCTTTCTTGGAGGCATTTATCTGGTACATAATTCGCTCTTTAGTAGAGAACATCTGAAAGAGGAGGGCGTCCCACATCTTCAACGCCCTGGGACCTTCTGTGGTCTTAACCACCTCCTGATTGGCACATTGGTTTGCTGATGACTTATCACTACTGTGTTGATCTGTTTTCCCGCTGCTGCCATTTGAATCATCCTGAGAGTCAGCCTCTGGCTCTGGAAACTCGGGTTCCTCTGGCTCAACAACCATGTGTTTCTTGAGCCGTGTCCATCCGCTGAGATTACCCTTAAGGCCTTTCTGCTTCTGGGCTGCCTTCAGCTCAGCAGATGAAGGGGATGTCGCTGCTATAAT